TCTTTCCCTTGGATGAGTACTCGGATCTGGGTGTATCTGAGTGTGCCCGATATATTCTCTGAATATCTGCTTACCTGTGTATTGGTCTCCTTCCTTGTTCTCCTTTTTTGCCATTCTCCCAAATATCGTTGCTCCCAGGGAGTGGTCTGGTCTTTCTTTCCTACATTTTCAGGACCAGTCCCTGGTTAATCACCTCCACATAGCTTCAGTATGGCTATGACTTCCACATCTGCACCTCCATCTCTACTCTTGGCCTTGAGCTCTAGGCCTCAAGCTCTAGACTTGTATCTAGCTCCTCCCAAACCCCTTAACTTGGCGGACACACCTACGGCTCACTTCTACACTCATCAGTTCACCCCCACATGGTTATTGGGACACTGACTATGTCACACCACCTTAACATTTCTTCATCCATATCTCCAGACCTTCAGGCAGGGATGAACACTTTGACAGTAAGTTACAAGTGCTTTAGAGGTCTAGAGGAGCTGGATTGCCATTCCAAGTGTAGCAAACTAAATGAGGAGAAAATATCCTGGGGCCAAGGCACAGGGGTCAGAGTGGAGGAGGCGCTGAGCGAGAAGAATCCCTACAAGAGGAAGCAAGCAAGCCTGGAATGATGGTTGGCTACCATTTCTATGCATTGCCTGTGTCTCTGGGTTTTGAGAGTCAAGAACCATCAGAGAAGCTAAGGAACAGAAGACAACTGGCTTGGGAACCAGCACTTAGCGTAATGGCTGTGTTGCTGGACTCCCACGTAGTTGAGTGTGGTTCGCGTCCCAGACCCGGTGGCTTAAAACTCACGCTGGGCGCGTGTGCGTGCGTGCCCAAGATCCCGAGAGGAGAATGGAGGAGCAGGGATTGTGGTGTGACCATCCCCCATGGGGGGGTGATTTCTCGCTTTCTGTCTCTCTGTCTCTCTCTGTCTGGTGAGCGCACGCACCCTATAGCAAAAAAACCTCTCAAAAAAAAAAAAAAAAGACAGCTGGCTTATTGTCATCTACCAGGTCAAGTCCACACTCCTTAGCAGAATGTTCAAGACCCTTCCTGCCCTGGCTCATGTTTACTTCTCCAGTTTCATCTTTTCCACTCCCCAGCTCGCTCTAGACTTCTGAATTCAGCTATTTCCTGAATTCAGTGTGTCTCTTCTGCTTTCATGCACGCATGCAATTCTTTCTGCCTATTACGTCATGTCCTTTGGTGTCTACTCAATGAAGACCAACTCATCCTTCTAAATTTAGCCCCAGCTTCCCCAACCACTACAGGTATAACACATTATTCTGATATCTTTTTGATGTGACCCGTAACACGCCTTCATACTTTAATTATCTCAGTGGTCACACTGCATCTTAAGTATTTAATCCCCTTCCTGATGTGACCTGTGAGCTCTAAGAGGACAGAGCCTATGTCTTACTCCATTTTTTAAACCCCAGCACTTAACACACTTGGCATGTGTACTGGTCAGCATGCCAGCACACTCAAGGATTTAGCTGGAGGGAATTGAATGACTGTTTGCAGTGACAGATTAAAGAAAGCAGCCAGCTAATGACTAGCCAACGTTGGAAGCTGTTGCCACCTCAGGCTTGAAGGTATGGGGAGGTAAACTGAGGCTGGAGCCATGGAGGAGAAAAGCCATTGCTAGAATCTTAGCTTGGTCCAGCAGGCCTCCTCCTCTCCATGCTCTCCTTCTACCCTCAGGTCTGCCTTTGACTCTCGTAAAATGAACTCAGCTAAAAGCTAGAACCTTGGTGAGCCCTGCTGCTATGCCCATAGAGCTCAGATACTGTGGCAGGGTGGAGAAGGGCCAAGAATGGATCTGGGTGGTGGGAGGGTGTGCAGATGACGGAAGGCTGCTGCTTTGTGGGAACCTATGTACAATATATAATTAGTCTGCCTGTTGGGTAATCGAGCACTGTTTGAACTTTGTTGAGGGTTTTAGGGCTGGTGTTCTGTATATTTAGGTATTTGTGTGTGCTTTTCTCATTATTTAGGTATTTGTTTGTGCAAGCTTTTTAAAATTTGTGCCACTGAATTAGTAGGTCTGGGATAAGGCACCTATTTTTTTTTAAAGAATTATTTATCTAATATAATTTCCTCAGAGAGAGAGAGAGAGAGAGAGAGAAAGTGAGAAAGCAAGCTGCTAGGTATGGGAGACTCAAACTGCAATTGACCATGTGGGAGTCCAGCGCCCTAGCCACCACACCCCCTGTGAGCCCCAGGGCACCTAGGTTTTAAAAATGTTTCCCAAGTAATTTCGATACATCTTACTTGTTGAAAACCACTGAAATAGTCTCACCTTCTTGTTTTCGTAACAGGCAAACTGAAGTCCAGAGAATGCCCTGAGTTGACCCCTTCTGTTTGAGAACCCTCTGCTGCGTTGGAGGGTCTGGCTGAAAATCCAGAATGTGTGCACCTATCATCTAGCTCAGTGCCTCCATTTTCCTGATGAGGAAACCGAGACTCCAAAGATGGCACAATGCATTGAATTGTGTGTAGAGAGTCCCAGAGAAGGAGGGACTAGTAGTAAGAACAGTGTTCACAACTCCCAACCCAGTGTTCTTTCTAGGTCGTGCACTTTATAAGGGTGTATGTTGTGTGTTTGTGTGTATGACAAAGCTCTGGGGGCAGCAATTCTAGTCCCTCATTCTGGTAAAGTGGGTCTTCCCACAGCCCTGAACTGGAAAGGAAGCAGAATAGGCAGGACGTTGACCACTGGACTCTACGTAGGACAGGCCTGGGGATGGGGAAGGCCATGGATGAGCCCCTGTTCTCAGCCTTTGCTCACCCTTACTGCACTAGCTCTTGAATCCGTCCAGAGGAGAGGGCTACTCCTTCACCTCAAATGGGTGGCAGGTCAACAGCACCAGCTGTAAGGGAAGCTAGGGAAGGCCTAGAAGGAAAAGAAGGGTCTTGTTGCGGGAGCAGCTCACAGGAGGCTTCAGCCTGTAGGCCTCTCTCCGTCAGCACGAGACTGTAGTCCAGCACTACGACCTCAGCGGCATTAGCCCAGGATCTCTAAAATTCCTTGATGGCAGCTAATTAGAACTGGTCACCTCCCTACCCTCAATCCCCAAAGCATCACACAAAGTTACTGTCCTACAGATCACAGACCCCTCTCCCATTTTTTGAGACACATCAAACATCTCCATCTCCAGGAAGTCTGCTAGGTTTCAATTTCCTTAAGTTAGCAGCCCTTCCAGTTCCCCAGCCCACATCACATGTTTGGATTAGGTGGAACCTTAGGGCCATCCACTTATCTCGCAGAGGCGGAAATCAGAGCCAGAGAGGGGAAGTGATTCACCTAATCACGCAGTGTGGAAACGCCAAAACTGGGCCTAGATTCCAGTCCATTGGACTACCTACCAGTCTGCTCAGGGAATTCTTGTGATGCTGAAAACACATGGTTCCAAATGTGCTTGTGTGTCTTTAGTCGGTGTATCATAAAATATGGTTACATTGTGTTCCCGGCAAAGTTAGTTCACATTCCTTCGGTGCCTTAAGTATGCGCAGGTCTGCCTGTTATTCTTGGCATGTTCTTATGTGTGTATCATTGTCTCTGAGTTGTGAGAGGTGTGTGCATAAGGGCAACTAAGTGTCTGTGTATGTGTGTTTTGAGAGGTTTTTGCCTTAGGGCATGAGCACTCCCAGGAGAGACAGAGAGACAGACACAGTGAGAAGGAAAGTGAGAAATCACTGGCCAGGAGGGATAGCCACACTGCAATCCCTTCTTCTCCATTCTCCTCCTGGGATCTTGGGCATATATGCGCATGTGCTTGGTATGATTTCAAAGCCACTGGGTCTGGGACTTGAATAGTGGTCAGCCATGTGAGTCCAGTGATGTAACAGCTATGCCATCTGCTGATCCATCTGTATTCTTTTTTTATGTAAGAGTTATGGGTCTACCAGCTGTTGCTTGTTTATATATGTGTCTTTGCTCTTTATTTTATTTATTATTATAATTATTTTATTTGGCTAGGGAGAGAGAGAGAGAAAGAGAGAGAGTGAGAGAGAAAGCAACAAGCCACCAGGCCCAGGACTTGAACAGCAGTTGGCCATGTGGTAGTCCAGTGCTTCAACAACTGGCCCTTGTGTCTCTGTTCTTAAATTGAGGGGTGTATGCCATCCTGGGGTGGTTGCTTTGGCATCCGTGTACTTGTCTAGTGTTGAAGGGCAATCTGATTTTGCACGTTTGAAGCGTTAGGGTTATGGGTCTATGGGTGATGTTTACGCATCACATAGGCAATGGATCTCTTTTCAGGTTGAAGGTTGTGTGTCCAACGACTATGGCGTGTCCATTTGGATGTGCGTTTGTACGCGGTGAAGGTCTTGTGTCTAGTTGTACCTGGGTTCCTGTGAGCTGCGTGTTTCGAGGCTGAAGGGAATCTATCTGCCGTCGGTTCCGGCTTAATGAGAAAACGTGTGTAGCCGTGTGTCCAGAACTCGGATGTCTGACTCTCAGCCAAGCTGGGTCCTACCCAGGCGCTGAGGTCACAGTCACGTTCCGGGATGTCTTGGCACTGTCTCCCAAAGGGGCGGGAGCTCGGGCCGGTCTCTGGTCTCCCGGGGCCTGCCTCGCAGGCTGGGGGCCCGGCCTGTGTCGCCAGCCTGGCCCCGCCCCCAGGGCTCCGGCCAGCCCATTGGCGGTGGCCGCGGTGACGTCGCAGGCTAAGACAGAACCCCCGGCGCCCGGCGCGCGGGAGGTATTGTCTGTCACTCCCGGCTGGCTCACGTCGTTGCCTGCTCACCTGGCCGAGGGCGAGCCCTGGCCGTTGCAGCCCGGAGCGGGGTGCCAGTCGCCGCCTCCGCCATGGTGTCCCCGGTCACTGTGGTGAGTGAGCGAGCGAGCTTGTGGCCAGCGCGGCCGGGGCCCACCGCCCCGGGCTGGGGGC